CCGCGAGAACTCGAGGTCGAGAGTCGAAGACTCTCGACATGTGTATCGTCCTACTGAATCTGTACCCTATGGGTCTTCATCACTCCGCTCTCCCCCTAGTACTCAACATACGACGTCACCTCACGATCTTGGAGATCGTGAATACTTTGAGGCCCATCTTCCCGTGATGCCGGCACGTTCGCTACGCGAACGCCAAGTCGCCGCCCATCCACCGTCTGTTCCTTCCTTCGCCAGTCATCATGTATCCCCGCCAACGGTACGTTCCCTTTGGGAACGCCAAGTCACCAAAGGCCCTACTAGTCAGTCCTCATCGCACGCTTATGACATCAACCCGCTACCAGTACGTTCGCACTGCGAACGCCAAGTACCCGATAGCAACTATATGAAGTTCTCACCCGTCTCACAAGTCGCGACCTCGCACACAGTACGCTCCATTGAGGAGCGCCAAGTACCCGTGGCTGACCCGTCCGTCCTGGCATCTCCGACTACCTACCATCAATCCCTTAATAGCTCACTACATCACCAATCGCGATCGATGGGAACTCGATCGTCCACCCCCAGGCAAGACTGGGATCACTCATCGATTACATATCCTGTTATGGTACAGACCAGATATGACCTCACTCATCCCACTATAAGAACGGATCGAGGAATGGGGAATTTCCCCCATCCCCGTAACACTTCCCCCTGGGTAGTTTGGCATCCGGGACTAAGTCTATAGCGTGGTCCCAGGGCTTCCGGGGGGGTAGCTGGTCGAAGGCTTCTTTCGAGAACACGTCTCGGAAGTCCTGGTAGTGCTCTGGCACCAACACTTCAAACGGCACGGGTTCTGCCCCCGGGTCATGGGCTTCTTGGGCCATCCGCTGGGAGGGTGTCGTAGTCACTCTCAGGTCATGCCCCCACCCCGGGGGGATGATCGCGGCATAGATCCCGTCCCCGGGTTCTAGGGCAAGGTCCGGGTCGCTTCGTGTCTGTAGCAGCTTGCAGGAGGATGGGCAGCGGGACATGGTGACTTTCTGTCGTGCCCAATCCACTTCCGGGTTGTGGTGCAACAGCCATGAATGTCCTATGATGAGGGACTGTCACCCGAGGTTTGCAACCACGAACCAGGCTCGCTCTGTGTGTCGTCCGAATGTCAGGAGGGCCTCCAGTTCCTCAGTTATGGCTCCATTCTCGTTGGGGGTCCTGTCGACGTTGCAGACCAGGATGGGCTGAGGGAGCCGGGTGGTCTCAAGGTTGTGCTTCCAGATGAACTCGGGGCTTACGAAGTTCCCGGTGGCTCCTGAGTCCAGGAGCGCTGACACGGATACAGAAGCGAGGGAGGTCAGGGCGGTCAGCTTCACGGTGAGGCTGAGCGACCTGGGGGATTGTTTAGAGAGGACGTAGATGGCGGGTGGGGACACCGCTACCTCAGGTGTTACCCCTGGGGTTCTTTCACTCTCTTGTGCTGGAGATGCGCTTTTTCTCCTTTTCTTTGCGATAACTCGGTGAAGCTTTGGCATTGCTGGCTTACGCGCTTTGCGGTATTTACATGAGTTATGCTCTGCGGGCGCCCGGGACGCATCCCTCACTGGCCGCCTTCCTGAAAATCCTCCTGAGGCCCTGCCTCTGGCTCTTCCCCCTCTCCCTCTGGTTCCTCAGTCAGCTGCCTCTTCAACCCCTCCATCAGTGCTCGAAGGTCTTCCGGGTGGAGGCGTCGGACTCGGTGGACCTTAGGTTGCGGGCAGTCTCGTGCGATATGCCCTGGGGCGTTACAGTTGTAACACAGCCCGTTCCTCCTGTGGTCAGTCTTCGAGCGGTCGAGGTCCATGGGTTGCGGGCCCGTCCCTGTAGGGGGGCGGGCTGCAGGAGTTGGGGGCGGGGCTGCGGGCCCAGGTCGTGGGGCTGCGGGTGTGGGACGTGCGTGAGGGGGGTTTGTAGTTGGCGGGGGTCGCGTCAGGGTAAACGGAGGCCTGGGTGGGGGCGCGCGGGGTTGTGTCGCCTGGAAGCATCGCCACTGGTTGTCCAGGAGGGTGGCTTCACGTTTCCACTCGGCCCAGGTGGTAGGCATGGGGCGGAGGCGATATATACTCTCGCGGAGCCGGGCGTTGATTGCTTGCTCGAAACAGTCGACAAGCCCAACGTCGCCCAGCCGCGAGGCGGGTCCCAATATCTCGAACTCCTGGATGACTTTGTCCACGGAGTCACTCCCCTGTCGGATGCTTGCCAACTTCTGCCAGGCAGTGGCTTGCTGGTTGGGGTCCTGGAACATGGCATCGAGTTCCGTGTTGAACTCGTCCATGGTGAGGGTGGGAGAGTTTGCCGTCAACAGCGCGATGGTACGCTGGGTCGCCCACGCTCCTGCGGTCCCCCCCTTCATGTAGGACAACATGAAGAGGATCTGAGAGAGGGGGGTGGGGAACTCGGCCGCGCAGACGTGGAAATAGATGCCACATTCGGCCTTGAAACGGTCAAGGTCCTTGCTGGCTCCTGAGAAGGCAGTGGGGGGGGCAACCTTAGGCCCCTTGGGTCTGGGCGCGGATGGGGGCGCAGGGGCGGGTGTAGGTGCCGGCATGGGGGGTGGTGCCGGCTGGTTCAAGACCTGGCTTTCGATGATGGCCTGTAGTTCTTGGAACCGGGCCAGCAGGTCGTCGTACTGCTCTTCGGTTACCATGGCAGGGGAGGGAGGAGGGATAGGGGAGACGAGGTTGAAGCCTTCTTCTGCTGTCAGGGACGCGTCCAGGGTAGAGGAGGCCCGGGTGAGATGCCCGACACTAGAAGCCTCGTGGGGTGTGGAGCGGGCGTGCATACTGGCGGGCCCGGCTCAGGAGGCAGTCCCTGGCCACTTAGACTGAAGTGGAAAAGGGTGTTATTATTATTAAAAGGGAATACTATGTTACTTACCTGAAGTGGAAAAGGGTGAGAAGAAGGCTACTTCTTCGGTTCCCACTTCAGGTATGTTTATATACATGCGGCTTAGGTCACATGACGGGTGCCACGTCATCCTCGCATACAGCCGTAGTCACCCAGGTGTCCCCGTGGGGGATCCTGAGGGCGTCCGCTGTGAACGCGCGAGCTGGACATAGCGGGGGTCGCCCGAGGCGCCTGGGCTGGGCATGTTGTGAGCACGCTGCAGGTGGGTCAATGGTACATTGATACAAGGAAAGGTCGTCTGTGTAGAATAAAGAGAAAATAAAGAGAAGGTGAGATAAGTAAAGAGAGAGTGGAATGGAGGAAGAAAGAAAGAAGAAGGGGGGGAGGAGGTAGGGGAAGACTGGGTGGCGGGGTACCGGGTGAAGTGGGGCCGGGTGGGGCCGGGTCAGGCGGGTGTGCCCTGACAGAAAGGAGACAAAGGGAGATGGAAAGAGGAACAACACCGAGGGTCAAGGGTTTGACTCAATGGTGTTTCTCAAAGGAGGAATGAAGGGCCAAGGCCCAAGGAGGAAGGAAGGAGGATGGGAGTGGGGAATGGCCAGCTGACTGAATAGAAAGGAAGCAGCAGCCCAAATAGGAATGGGGGAGAATAGCGGAATTGAATGGAGCAATGCAATAGTTGCAAGGTCCGATGTAAGTCCGGAAAGTCCGAACTCGGAAGTTAAACTCCGGAATATTGGCAAACATAATTAAATGGAATGAGCTAACCAATACAATGGGTATAAGCGGAGGTGGGGTCAAAGTCCGAGGTTGGAGCTAAGACCAGAGGTTCCGGAGACGGAGATGCAAACAGGATTCTGGAGTGGAGGTCCGGAGTCGGGAGCATAGGTGTTGCATACTCGTCTGGAAGGTGTCAAGGTTGGGGTTGGACCCGGAATGTTCCGGAGTCGGACCGAAGGTGGTGTTGGAGCCGGAGGTGGGATAACCTCTTGGGAGTCGGCAAGGAGAAGGTGACGGAAGGGAAGTAGGGCTCTGGAGTCGGTTTCGGAGTTCCGGGAGCCCGGAGCAGAGGTTGGGATTGTACGGATATGACAGATGATGGCCATGGATGGATATGACAACATCAAGGAATAAAAAGTAATACACAATGAATAAAGATGTGTGCTATGCATGCATCTCCACCCTGAGACCCATCCATTCCTTACAGTGGAACAGGATGAAACTCAGGTGGTGAGCAGTTATCATATTTATCTCAGACCAGTTTTTTTTTCTAATCAATAGGATTGTTTTTTTGCTTTTTAATTTAGGCCACACATTCATCATGGTGCTCAATCGGCAGGAGCAAACATAGTGTTGTAAACACGGCATTCCAAATATGGCAACCCACTTCAGCGGTTCACTCACAACCCAGATGTAATACAGAAAGAAATATAACTGTAACTAACTAAAGAACATACGGTGCTGAAGCACCCATATTTATACTTCTCAACAATATTCCAGGCTCTTCTATGCCCAGCGCTTATGCAGGCACCTAGTAACCCCTAGAATATTCCCGGTTATTCCGGTTCAGTTTCATCATGTGACTCGTATTCCAACACATAGGGTGCAGCAATGTTTCACATTGCAAAGCCCCAAGGCTACTCACTTGATGCCGAATCCTGATGGGGAACTTGGGGATCAGTTATCACCTCACTCAAGCAAAGAGTCTCGGCAGCACAGGTATGGATGCAAATTACTACACCGTTGGAGCCGTGTCAAGTTGATTTGATTTGACATCACCCAAATGCGGTCCTAGTCACACCAACAGCAACAGGCATAATTGCTGTGTTGTAGAGACTAGTCAGTTAGTGATGTAGCGCTTGTGGCTACACTCGCACTATAACGAAGGGACCTGAGGTAAGACCAAAAGATGTTCTTTATTAAGCCCAGCTAATTGTGTATTTATACTACATCGGGGCTATGCTATAGATCGATGGACGCACGGTCACATCGGGGAGGTGGTGTCGGAATAGTGGGATGTCAGTCAACCGCACAGCGTCAGATGTGGGATCCCTACTATGACTTGTATTCCAACATGCTGTCGTCTTTAACGAACAAGCATTAAGTAGGACTGCCATCAAGCACATAATTACATGCAGTACAGGGAGGCAAAGAATGTAGTGGGGAAAGAAATGTTGGAAGAGGCAAAATTTGTCCTGTAATTAAACACAATTTTAACTGGAAGCGCGGTACATACGCAACTATCCAAAATGCGGGATGAATGATGACCAAGATGGGGTCTGGTACAGGCTGGGCGGAGGTGAATGCAAAGAACTGAGGGTGAGAACAGTCAGGGTGACCTGCGCAGCAGTGTAAACAAGTGGAGGAAGTAATACTATGCCCTTAAGAATAGACTCATGAACATGATCATCAAGCCATGCGACACAATCCCCAACCCATGCCTTAACCCATGCGACATCCACAACCCATCCAATCAAGAATAGAAAGACAGGAGCTACTGTGATATATATCGCTGAAACCCGCCATAGAATCATCTCCGTGCATGTTGGAAAGGGAAACGACCATGCAAGGCAATGAATTCCCCCAAAGATCATCCCAGTGGCTGCAAATATCGACGTGAATTCCAACCCCTTAGGCTCATCCACCCACATGAGGGACATCGGATCTGCATCAGTCTCCGTCTTAGGTGTTTGTTGATCAACACTCGTCTCGGAAGTCGGAGGAACAGAAGGGGACTTGTGCATCACATGGATTGGAAATTGAACGTTGACAGGTTTCTCCCACCACAACACGTAAACAAAGATATATAATGCCACATATGCCAGTGCCATTGTCTCGAGTTGCGATCTGTGCAAATGGTTTGCCCATCGTTCGGCATATTGAGTGATAAACCAGAGTAGTTGGAGGACAGTGATAATTTTGGAAAACGCATCGCCTTTGCTTCTGTCAAGAATTTCCTTCTGTGTTATTGCGACCTTTCTAGTATCCCCGGTGTTCTCAATTATGCCGGGGTATTGCTGCAAGTCATTGGGGCCCACAACGCTTCCTTCTGACGGGTCGAAGAAACCATTCATGACAACAAAGTATGAATGCGTCAAGGTCCACCCTTGTGGCAAGTAGTCAGTGCTCCATCCCTTCCTAACTTGTTTTCCCCTCAAATTCTGGGCGCACCTTCAACCATCTCGAATTTTTCTGATATTTTTCGAGATATCAAAAATTGGTCCCATGCAAGCACCAGAGTGAACTCCGGTGAAACCAGTGACCAGATCATCGTGACAATGCGCAGTATAAACACCGAGACATTATCATCATAGGATTGTGGTAATCTGGGTGCACTGCTGTCCAAACGCAAGCAAATACAGTAAGGAGGCAGCTATAGACGATGACCCATATCATTCGGTAATTCCGGGGTTCGTTGTAACCATCAGATACATTTTGCAGGAAACAAGTCGTATTGTGAGGGGGGGTGGGCGCCGAATAAACATTGTAGGCAAGAAGAACGTTGATAAGAGCTGTTGCCATCAGATCTGGTAGAATGGGGGTACAAGCGCACCAAATACAGGTCGAGTATACTTAAGCTTTATAATGTGAACTGGGGTACTGCCGATGTTCAGCTCGTTATCAGCCATGCGGCAATTCCAGGGATTTCGAATTGCATCGATGTGAAATTAAGTTACCGCGCGTCATTCACTTCGAACAAATTTTAAATTTGACTCTAGATTCAGTCACCGCAATCGACGATTTTACATAAGCGGTTGACTGTTGCGATAACATACCAGTTGTTCCTTTCAATGGTGCACGGCCATGAAAACCAGGGCCGGTTCGGGCCCTTGGGGCACTAGATATAGTTATATAACCCCCCAGGAAGTGTTGGCTCAGTCATTGCCATGGTCTCCTAACACTCGATGCGAGAAAACGCATTCCCCGCAAATTGTAGAGTTAGGTCCCTTCCCCACATCCCCGAAGGGGATAGGCCTCTCTCTTAGAAACTACATAAAGGGTGAATGAACCCCAGTCTTATTGGCGTCTGGCACATCCTTCATGACTTACAGGACGCTGGCCACTCTAAGCTGTACTGGGAATTCCACACCGCGCTAATGATCATCTCCTAGTTGTACTGAATAACTTCGTATACTATCACCTTGGCGGTGCTTCTTTACATCGGCAACGCCATCGACAACCTTCCTTGACACTGGCCATATATCGCTCCTTCATACGACATGGCTCAGCTTCGGTTCTCGCCGTCTATTGCTACCACAATGACTACCGGGTCGAGCTCGCGGACTGCCGTGAAGCAACTGTTCTCATTCCAACTAGGACGATGACAGAGAATACGTTCCCGTGCTCCCACTAGTTTCGGTTCACGACAATTACTCGGGCGCTGGATGCTATAGATTCCATATTTACATGATTGACTATTGTCGTAGCTTCAGAGATTCAGTGCAAGCGCTGTACAATGAAATGGGAATCCTTTCCGAGGAGGCCACTCAGGGATTATTGTTTGAGTCAGTCCGAGATCTGTGAATTCACCTAATCCCAGCTGATATGTGTGTTTTTTTTGCAAATGGTGGACATCTCTCGAGCTCAGAGACAATCGTCGGGCCAACATGCTCCACGATATCCTGCTTCTACTGCACCCTCCGGCACCACACCCATCACACACACTCGGTGTCGAGACATGTCGAGGAGTAAGGGTCAAGGCCAATTCTTCTCGACGGAATAAATCTCGTCTACTCCGACTCTAGGAGTGAGCGCCAATGCATCGCCCTCAGCACACCCACAAAAACCAACCTCCAAACCAGCAAATCCCCTTCCTGCCCCAGCCTCCCCCAGCAACAATAGGTCGTACAACATGCATTCTAGAAGACCCAATGCTAGCTAATGACCCGAATCCTCGAGCACTGATTCCCCTGCGCAAGCTGCAATGCTGGGGACCCCATTGACTGGGGCGCCGAGGGTTGGCGAGACGATTGGCAAAGGCAGGTTCTCTTCTTGCTATTGGGCAGAAGATGATGACGCTGCCTCCTCACATGCGAGGGACTCTGGAGGCTCCCATCGGGTGCGTCATCGTCGCTTTCGTTTAGCCAACCATTCTTACTCACCCTAGGTGATTTTCAAGCCTTCAATGTCGGCACCGCCCATTGAATACTTTCCCGCATTCTTCCATCTCTCGATCCCGCCTGGCTGATTATATGGACCTTGCCGGTATTGGTGAATACTTCAGTGTGGCTTGTTTGTGGGATGGATTGAATGAGATGATGAATGTTACAGGCGCCATAAAACCTGAGACGATAAGTTATCTCCCTTTCCGAAATGCTCGCCTAACTTCGGACCGTCGTGACCTCTTTTGTTCCTGTTCCCCTCGCGTAATCCTCGTGCCTTGGCTCGAGGATCGATAACCTCGTAATCATGTTCAGCACGATGCGTCTCGGCCCTGTCATTCTTAGGGAACTCCAGTCGATGGCTGATCCAACCAGTGTCATTATCAACTTCAAGTGCGGCCTCCTCGCCACCCTCACCCATGCAATTGCTTGAAGGTCCCTCGACACGCGCATCCCTCGGCCTGGCTTTGAACCAGTCAAGGGTGGCAAGGAGGGCCTTTGCTTTTCCTTTTGCTCCAGCAGCTCGTTTTATTCTGTCGGTTCTTGTTGAAGAAGAGAAGGCCCCGATCCGGTCCTTTTCGATTTAGGTTCATCCTCGGAGTCACCACTCACTCAGCTGTTGCGCACGGGGGCATTGCTCTTACTGCCTCATCATGGGGAGCTTGTTCAGGCTGGTCCAGTGAAGTAATATAATCAGTCATACGATTAGGCGTCTTTTTTGGGGGGAACTGGAGGTCATGCGGATTATGCAAAGTGGCCAGTACATTTGGCCAAGATGGCAGTGAAAGCGGGAGTCGGCAAAGAACTGCCCAGGAAGCAGAGCGAAGGGCTCAAGAAGTCCCTTCATTTACTCACCGAACGCCGGTGAGATCAGCCGCGGATGGCGCATCTTTTGAGCGGGCGAGGGGTGAAGCTTTGGCAGCTCCGGGGTGCCAGGTGCGGAAGTTCATGTTCTACTATGCTACCCTTCTGATGAACCCTTAGGAGTTGTTCCGTTCAATCTTGGTGTCATTCAAGGCCCCACTACGGCCCTGCCAGTCGCGCCAACCGCAGCAAGTTTCAGGGGAAGAATGTGTGGGAATGGTGTGGGAAAGAAACGGTGTTTAATGCTGGGAGAGGTGAGAATCAAACGGATTGCGAGAGTCTTTTAATTTATCCCTATCTAACTTGTGATCTGATGGTTTTTAATCTGGCGCATCTAGGTCATACTCAAATGTAAACAATGGTAATAAAACATACAAATTGGAATATGAAGCACAGTACATAAAGTAAATAAGCTATACGCGCGGTCTCAGTCTCGAACAAGAGAACTAATTTATTGTTCCTTTACCTATACGCGCGGTCTGTAAATACAGTCAGAACTCGCATACAAGGAATAAAGTAAAATAAAAGGATATCACCTCAGTCTCGAACAAGAGAACTGAGGGGGTGTGAAAAATTTCCGCGCACAGTGTGTTTTATACACCTAGCGCTGATATCGCTTATAGCAACTGCCTGCTATAACCGGCAATGAAGAGGACATCAAGACAAAAGGTATATACAATATCCTCAATTGATATCGCGTCAATAAAGAAAATATCAGTATGCATGGACATTGATATTCCAATAGTACATACATCTATCCAAGATGTGGGAGAAATGAGGTCCAAGATGGGGTCTGGTAAAGATCAGGGGGGGGCGAACGCAGAGAAGTGATGGTAAGAACAAGCAAGATAATCTGGGCAATGACGTAAGAGGCTTCCATGAGAAACCCACATATTCTAGCTACGTAAGAGCAAAAATCAGCAGCCTGGCGACGAGACATATAAAAGAAAAAATTTCCAAGAGCAGAACCATAAGTATCGTCTGCAGGGAGGAGAGTGATCCGTCATGTCGACATATGCAAGGCATAAGGAATAGGGCATGCCACAATAATTATCGCTGAAATCTGCCACAGAATGGTCTCCTTGGGTGTTGGAAAGGGAAATGACCATGCCAAGCAATGGATCCCCCCGAAGATGATGCCCGCGGTTACACTAGCCACAGAGGGAATTAGAGCAGCGTAAAAAACTACTTTAAAGATGGTAAAATACCTTTATCTTTACCACGAGTTGAGTAGTATTTTACCATCAAGTGTGAAGTGTTTTACCAAGATTCCATTACCACAATAGCATGAGTAAAAGATGCATCTTTTTGTTGTTTTTTAACTGTTTAATGATGGTAAACTGACCGTTTACCATCGTCCTGTTCGGTATTTTACTTCATGGGGTAGGTAATTTACGACACTCATGGTTGGTAAAAAACACGAGAATTCAGGGTTATTTATACTTATAATGGTGGTAGTTTACAATGACAATAGCCTTCACTTTATCAGGCTGTACTATGCGAAATAGTGGTATGATCGGAGCGGTGGCAAGCCAGAGATGAGGAATTGGAAAAGCGCACAAGAGATAAAGCCAGAAACAGACATGAATCTGTCAGGGACTCGTCCAGGGTCGAGGGGGCCCAGGTGTAGCGTCCGGGGCTGAGAGCCTGGTGGGGGGCAGATCGGGCGTGCGTACTGACAGGCCCAATGCGGGACAATGGTCCCTGGCCACTTAGACTGAAGTGGAAAGTTGTTATTGTCATTAAAGGAGGAATATTGTACTACTTACCTGAAGTGGAAAGTTGAGAAGAAGGCTACTTCTTCAGTTCCCACTTCAGGTTCGTTTATATACATGCGGCTTAGATCACATGACGGGTGCCACATCACCCTCACACACAGCCGTAATCACCTGGGTGTCTCCATGGGAGATCCCAAGGGCATCTGGTGCAGGCACGTGTACTGGGCACAGCGGGAGGTCGCCCAAGGTGCCCAGGCCGGGTACATGGTGGGCGCACTGCAGATGGGTCAATGGTACATTGATACAAAGAAGGTCGTCCGTGTGGAATAAAGAGAGAATAAGGAAGAAGTAAGATAGGGAGAAGGTGAGGAAGGAAGAATAAAGAGGGAAAAAAGGGGAAGGGGGAGGAGGTAGGGAAGGGTGGACAGCAGGGTACCGGGTCAGGTTGGGCCGGGTGGAGCCGGGTCAGGCGGGTGTGCCCTGACATCACCCCCCCCCCCCTTGAGCCGCTTCGCCTCGAAGCGGCCAGGTGGTTCTCCCTTTCTCTCCCTGGGGCTTGGGGGTGCATCCTGTGAAATTCTTCGATCTGGTCAGGGGCATGGGCTAGGTGGTCCCGCTGGAGCCATTGGTTTTCAGAGTTCGGCCAGCCAGTGAACTTTACCAGATACCAGAGTTTCCGGCATAGCCACTTAGAGTTCAATATCTTCTCGACCTCATACTCTTCTTCTCCTTCTACCAGTTCTGGGCCTGGGCATGGGTCAGCGGGTCTTTCTGCAATACCGTCCGGGAGGTGCAGTCTGACGTTCGTCACGGACACAACTGGGTGGATTCCCTTCTGTCGGGCGGTGAGCTGGAGCTTAACGGCAGCTGGGGAGATGACTTGAGTGATCCTAAAGGGGCCAAGCCATTTGTGGTCCAGTTTTTTAGTCAGACGGTCGGTCGTGTAGTTTTGGGCATTGAGCCAGACTTGGTCACCCTCTCGATACTTAGGGGCCGGGTCACGGTCCCGGTCGTAATATCGTGCCATCTCGTCCGCTGCAAGCTCTAGAGCTGCCTTTGCCTCCTCCTGCATTTTCATCATCCTTGACGAGAATGCATCGGCAGCTTCCACCTCGGATGTGCGCGTGGGTTCTGTCCCCATCCTAGGATGTTGGCCGGTGTCGAGTTTGAAGGGGGTTTGGTGGGTGGAGGAGTGGATGCAGTTGTTGTAGGAAAATTCTGCTAGCGGGAGCCAGTCTGCCCAGTCGTCTTGGTGGTGGTTGACGAACACCCGGAGGTAGGCCTCGATCTCTTGGTTGACCCGTTCCATCTGTCCATCCATCTGGGGGTGGTAGGGCGTTTGTTATGGAAATGGGAATTTCCCATTTTAGACTCTTATGGGTTCTGTATCATGTGATTTATATAGTAATATAGTTTAACGAATCAATTAACCACCAAAATCGCCACTTGTGAACTATTTTTTAAACCACATGTTACACCAACTGTGAAACCATTGTAACCTCTAATGGACCCTCTCTCTTCCTTTCCCTTCTCTCCTGCGCTCAGAACGGACGAAAATGGGCGCCTCCGGCCCCATTTTTGTAACAGCGTTGAAGGGGTCAGCTTGATGCCTAGGAGGTCTGCGAGCTCTTTCGAGAAGCGGGAGACAAAGGCACTCCCCCTATCGCTGAGGATTTCCTCAGGGAGGCCATGGTGTCTCCAGACATGCTCCAAGAAGAGTCGTGCGATACCCTCCAAATCCACAGTCATCACGGTGGGGACCGTGTGGATGCGTTTGGACAGCCGGTCCACTACAACCAAGATGGCATTGTATCCCCTAGACTCTGGGAGCTCCCCTATCATGTCCACTGAGATGACCTGCCAACGATGGGTGGGGACCTTATTTGGGGTGAGCTTCCCGACCTTTCGTGAGGGGAAGGACTTGACGCGATTGCAGGTGTCGCATCCCCATACGTATCGTCCGACATACTCAGCCATCCTGTCAGGAACGTGCCAGAAGCGTATCCGGGTGACCCGCGAGGTGCGCGAAGTCGTCCGGGCTCGTAAGGTCGGAGGGGCGGGACTTTTAGCTTCAGCGACTCGGGTGGAGCGCTGCGCTTCGTTCTTATGTTGGTGTCCCAATTTCAGACAGAAGCCTTACGATGAGGATAAGAGTTAGAGGGGGGAATCCAAGTCGATATACGAACTGAGGTACATCCGGTGTAACCTACATGCATTATAAACACAAGTAACTAAATGAGAGCGGCCCAGAAGGAGTGGCGGATCAAGCACGATATTAATGAATGAAGAAAGGAACAAATAATCAATATCGGCAAACTTGGTCAACAAAGGCAAGCAAGGAACAATAGGAGGAACAATAGTTCGCAAGCAGACAAAAGAGAAAAGGCCATCCGGCCGTCTAGCAAGCCGTCCGGCTGGGGGCGGACAACAATGAAGCGGGCAACCTAGGTTGGTGTCAGGGCGTGGGAATACGTTACCGTGACTCGCCGTCGGCGACCGTTAAGGTCCACTGCTTCGGCGTAACAGCCCGTCAAGGGCGGGGATGACAATCGCGGCGGAACGGGGTTTCGGCTTCAACGACTCGTTCGTGAGTGTTGCGCCTCGTACTTGATGCGGCCCCGATATTTCAGAAGACGGGAGGTGCGACTGGGTCAGACAGATAGTGCGGGGGGGTAACCCTAGTTGATTTTCGAACTACAGTACTAGGTAGTGTACAACCGGTATTTAAGTATAACGGAATGAATGGAATTAAGTCGCCAGATCTCACGGAGATTGCGGGCGGGGTTAAGAAGAAGCGAAAACAAACAAAGAGTGTGGGAGAAGGACGGCCGTGTATGGCCGTCAGGAAAGACAAGCGTGATAAAGAAAGACTCGTAGGCCCGTGACGGGCCGTGGAAACAGGTAGTGGTAACGGGGAAGGGTGGCGGGCTTGTTCAGGCGGCGTCGGGCAGGTAGCGGGGTTGACGGGGTCGAAGCGGGGAAGGAAGAGGCGTGGGGAATGATCACCTGACCGTGGGAATTGCCGGGGTCGTGACAGTTGGAAGGTATGCACGCGAGGGAGGAAGTGCGGATGAGGGTGACGGGTGGACGGATGGGTGGACGGATGATGATGATAGCGGGAGGGATGGGCCAAATGGCACTAGGACACGTAGAGGGAAGTGTCGGATATGTCAGGTCGTGACACATCCGGGGCCACCAGTAGTCACGGGAGACGAGTTCCAGGGTTTTCCATCGCCCTGGGTGCCCCATTGCCCATGAGTTGTGGTGTAGCCATACCAGATCATGGTGGAGTTGGGGGTCTTTCGGGATGTACACCCTTCCCCGGTACAGGATCAGGTCACCTTGCTTCTCCCATTCATCTGACCTTA